TAGTAGCCCTGTTAGAAGAAAAGGTGAGAACACTAGAGCAGCAAGTGTCCACCCTCAAGGTAATAAAAGAAGATGAACATTTTTAGACAGAGTGGTAGAACTACAACAGTTAAGAGCAGTTCAGAAGCTAGAAGTGCAACAGCAAGCAGAGGCAGAGAGGATAATCCCGAGGGAAGTGAAAATGAGGGGGAAACTCCCTGGAAAAGGGTGATGGGTGCATAAGATCTAGAAGACACTCTGCACCATTGGAAGCAGTAGAACTATCAAACTTTCAGTAAGCTTCCAGTTACTTGAGGATGGATCTGGAGGGCAGCCTGCCATGAAAGAACTGCAAATCATCCTGTGCTACATTGAACAAGAGGCTAAAAGGCAACCAAGTGGTGGCAATGATACCAAGGCTTGCAAGAACAAGAAGAGAAGATTGTTAGTTGTTGGAGACTCCTTTTGAGGGGTGAGGTGGAAACACATGTATGTCAGGAAAGCCTGTGGTCTTCTTGGGTATGCTGTCTCCCTGAGGGACAGATTAGTGATATAATTGAAATATTGTCAAGGCTCATACAGTCCACTAACATGCACTGTATTCCATTCTTTTACATGTGGGAATAAATGACACTGCCAAGAGGAGCTGTGAAGAAATTACATCACACTTGAAGCTTTAGGCAGGAAAGTCAAGAACTATGGGGCCCAGATGGTTTTCTTTTCAATCCTTCCAGTTCTTGGAAGAGGAATAGACAATAAAAGGAAAATACTTCAAGTGAATGCCTGGCTATGAAGGTGGTGCCAACATGATATCTGGATTCCGGGACCACAGGCTACACCTCCTAGAAGATGGACTGCTGGCAAGGGATAGGTTTCTGGGAGAAAGTGACCATGCCACACTTGAGTTCTTGATTGTAAAGAAAGCAAAAGCCAAATGTATCCAAACATGTATGATGGATTTCAGGAAAGATTATTTTAATAAACTGAGAACAATGATAAGTAATGTCCCAATAGATTGCTACAATTTTTACTCTAACAATCTGCTGTGTGTCAAACTAAATAGTAGGGTGTCGAATTTAGCTTTATACCTGTTCAAAGAGGTATGAGACAGGGTTGTGTTCTGGCACCCCATTTATTTAACCTACACTTAAACAAGTTTGTTCCAGGATTATGAAATGTTGTTACCCATGCAATATGTCTGGGAAACAACCAATCAGTACCTGCTTTACTCTATGCCAATGACCTTGTCTTATTTTTGAGAATTCAGATCAGCTTAAAATGTGCTATTAAAGCTTTTGTTGTCTATTGTAATGAAGAATTATTGGAGATAAGTGAAGACAAATTTAAAATTATGGAATTTCCCAAAGCAACAAAATGATCCAATAAAAAATGGAAAATTGGCACATATGTTACACCAGGTAAACATGTTTAGATACCTTGGAATTGTATTCCAACCAAATCTAACATTGTTTAAGCATGTTAAATATCTTAAGGACAAAGTCAAATTAAGCTTATTAGCCTTGAAAAGGATTTTTATATATTCAAGTAGTCAATATATGCCAACTCTCTTGAAGGTATACAAAACTTTGGTGCTGTTTCATCCGTTATACAGCTCCCAGATTTGGTTTTTTGCTTCCTAGAGCAATTCAGAAAACTCCAGCAAGCTTTTTTTTTTTTTTTTTGCCACCCTGTATTGCCTCTGCAGTGATACGGCTTAAACTAGGGCTTCAAAAAATTCAAGTTTGATTTGGAAGACCATAATTAAATGCTGATTTCAAATGCTGATTAGTAAACACTGAAGAAATTCCAACTTTCACTACACTGGCAATACAAGAGTGTTGCTGTTTGATATGGAATAACGTGGTAGAAACAAAAATAAGCAAACTGGGCTTATGGAAAATGGCAGAAAAAGGCAGAAGCTACTCATACAAAAATTATTTAAGGACAACTGGGAGAAGAGAACATGTTTCAAGAGAACATGAGACATAAATGCTCCCCCTTACATTGAGAATTAAACACTCCATGATATCTGATCTACCGCTCTACTTTAACATACTGGCATTTCCAAAGTTGAGACAATCCTACATGGTTGCATGTTGCAATGTGCTTCCAACTGCCCAGAAAAGGGGCTGATTTCTTAAGGTACCACCAAACTAATTCTATTGTAACTGACCCTTGTCAGAGCTTGAAACACCTTTACACATTTTCTTTTACTGCCCAAAATATAAAAAGGTAAGAGAGAGTTTTTAAAGAAATAGTTGTCAAAATATTCACCCCTCCCTGATGTTGTAAGATTAAAACTACTTTTGAGCAGTTTTTGTAAAACATGTATTATAAATGTAGCTAATTTTTGACATGTGTTTTTAAAATATTAAATTGTGGTGCATGGCCTATGGGCTATCAAAACAAATAAAATTTGATTTGATAAGTAAAGTCCCATGGCAAGTGACACTGAACAATACAAGCAAAATCAGTTTAAATCTCCAGGGCTCAATTAACTCTACCCTGGAGTCGTAATGGAGCTGGCAGAACTCTCAGAATCATTGTCTATTATCTTTGAGAAATCATGGAAGGGCAGAAAGGGGAAGTACCAGATGACTAAAGAAGTCTAATGTTGTTTCTATCTTCAAGAAAGGGGAAAAAAGAACCTGGGAACTATAGACAAGAAAGTCTCACATCAACCACTGGGAAAATTCTGGATCAGATTATGAAGCAGCCAGTCTGCAAACACCTTGAAAGCAATGCAGTGATTACTAGAAGCCAACATGGATTCTTTAAGAACAAATCCTGCCAGACGAACTGATTTCATTTTTTGATTAAATAACCTCTCTGCCAGACTGTGAGGATGCTGAGGATATAATCTATCTTGATTTTAGCAAAGCTTTTGACAAAGTGCTCCATGATGTCCTGATTAACATACTAGCTAAAAGTGGGCTGGATGGAGCAATTATCACGTGGATTCATAGTTGGCTACAGAAATGAACTCAATGAGTGCTCATCAATGGCACTTTTTCAAGCAAGTGGTACTGCAGGGTTCAGTCCTGGGCCCAGTGCTCTTCAGCATTTTTATTGATAATTTGGATGAGGAAGGGAATAATTATCGAATTTGCAGATGACACAAAACTGTGTGGGATAGCTAGTACCCACCTGGAAGAAAGAAAGAATACCCAAGGTTATCATAATAGATCGAAGTGCTGGGCTGCAAACAACAGACTGAAATTCAATAGGGGCAAATGCACCCAGGAAGAAGAAACCAAACAAGATAGGGAACACTTGGCTCAACAATACTGCAAGTAAGAAGGATCTTGGAATTACTGTAGGTAACAAGCTACAATATGAATATGAATTAACATATTCATATGGCTGCAAAAGGGGAAACTGCTATTTTAGGCTGCACTAATAGAAATATTACATTCAAATCCCATGAAGTACTAGTTCCTCTTTACTCAGCAGTGGTTAGGCCTTACTGTTCCCATTCTAGGCACCACAGTTGAAGAAAGATAAAGACAAGCTGGAAAGGATTCAGAGGGGGGCATCAAGGACAATCTGGGGACTGAAAACAAAGCCTATGAGGAGAGATTGAAAGATTTGGGCATGTTTAGACTTGAGAAGGGGGGGGGGAGATATGATAGCACTCTACAAGTACTTGAAAGGCTGTCACGAAGAGGAAGGATAAGAGTCTTCTTCATCATCCCAGACATGGCAGGAGATGGCATAAAGGCTGAACTTACAGGAAGCCAGACTCTGGCTAAAGATTCAGAAAAATTTCTGAGTGTTAGAGCAACCAATTACCTATGGAGGTTGTGAACTCTCCCACACTACAGGCATTCAGGATGCAACTGGACAGCCCATCTGAGAGGGATGGCTTAACTTGGAGTACTGCACTGAACAGGGGGTTGGCCTTTATGGTCCTCTGTCCCATTCAAACCCTATTCTTCTATGATTTTATGAAAGGTAATTACCAGCACTTTGTGTCATGCCCAGAAATGTACCAGCAGCCAGGGCAGTTGAGGTAACAAAGGGTGAGGCACTTGAAACAGTTTGTCCCTTTAGCAATCGAGTTGCTGTGTTTTGCTCTGCCTGCAGGATCCATTCAGTTTTCAGGGGCAGCCCAAATAAACCAAATATTTGAATAAGAGCAGTGTAATATTGGCAGTTTTCTTTTTGCTTCCTTTTCTAATTATGTCCAACGTTTTTTCACACTGGATGGACGTTTCCTCTTAGCTATCCAGCACAATTCCCAGTTTCTGTATCTTGGTCAGTCACGGCTGGCTCGATCCCTTCGCGGTATAATGGAAGCATGTTTTGCTCCAACATCACTTACACTACTTGCATTTATGCTTACACTGAACTGTATGTGGCCCATTTGTCTAGGCTGAATTTGCCCATTTCGGCCTGCTTTGCAATTCCATTTTTTTTAAAAAAGCGAAGTTCTAAAACTTGCCTTCCGATTCATGGGCTGCTCCCTTCTTCGTTAGGAAAGAGGTAGACAATGTGATGCAACTTTTAGGGAAATACAGCCTCTCGTTTCAATAAGCGCTTTTAGTCACCCGCACTGTAGAAGATAGAAGGTTCAGTCACCTAACAAAACCCCAGTTCCTTCGTGAATGAGCACTCTGGCGCTCTGCTAACTGAAAACAGGGTCACCGGCACGGACACTTTGGTTCGCTAGCCAGTAAAACAGTCTGTCCCGACTCAGGACTGCGCAAGCGAGCTGCGAGCTGCTGCCAGCGCCGTCCGCCGGCTACGTGGTGTTTCTTCTCGCAGGTTACTGCGGATACACAATCCAAACACCAAGCAGGATTCCAGAAGAACTGAACCAAGCCGCAGTACAGACGGCGCGGGAGTCCCGCGCGGGAGGAGCGCACGCAAGCCCCGCCCCTTAATGGGCACGGCCCTCGCCGCTGTGCTGCGCTGATTGGGTCTGCGCTCCTGTCGGACAGTCTGGGAGAGCCTGGCGCGCCGCGGCTGCTGTTTGACGGCGCCTTTTGAACCGAGCTGTGTACTGCACTGTGCCAGCGATGAGGGCGCTGGTGCTTGTATTGTCGGTGTTGCTGGCGCCGAGTTGGGGAGAGCGATGTCCGGCGCGCTGCGACGTATCACGTTGCCCGAGCCCCAGCTGTCTGAGCGGCTACGTACCCGACGGCTGCAACTGCTGTTTGGTGTGCGCGGCGGGAGAGGGGGAGGCGTGCGGTCGCCCGGAGGACCCGCCGTGCGGCGATAGCCTCCAGTGCCGTTTCCTCGACGCGGGCCAGGCTCCCAACCAGGGTGTTTGCCTGTGCAAGCTCAGGGCGCCCGTCTGCGGCAGCGACGGCAGGACCTATGCCAATGTGTGCCGCCTGAAAACAGCCGAGCGCCAGGCCTTGCAGCAGGGGCTCCCGCCTGTTCGCCACGTCCAGAAGGGCGCCTGCCGAGCCGGTAAGAGCAAGAAGAGACGTACTAGCTCCTTGCACCTTCGACGGTGACCTGGTGCGGACGGTTCGAGGAGGTCCTGTTCTACCTGCCGCATTTCTAGTGTGTTGTTGTTGCTGCCGCCACCAGGCTTCAGACCTGAGTAGAGTTCCTTAGCACAGGGCTTGCGATGGTAGGATGAACCCCGCAGAGTTGCGCAACCCATGTGGTAATGCAGTGTTGCTACTCTAAAATTGCCAACAGTGGCAGACTGGAGGCTCAAGTTGGTCCTGGGAGATGGCTAATAAGTGGGGATGAAATGTAGAAACGGACTGCTGAGTATTGACCGGAAATGCAGACATCTGCTTAGTCATAGGAGTCATTCTCACTCCAATAAACTCAACCGTTGTATGGTAACAGTGACATCTTCCGTTTCCTCACTACTGTTCGATCTTTTACAGGCCTCATATCTTTCAACAATTTCTATTTCCAAAGGGCCATTTTGATTATCTGCTTCTTAATTATCACTTGAGAAATGCAGCATGGATTAAAGCTAGAGAACTACCAGAGTTCTTCAAAGAATTGAAGGTGGTATGATAGGTCAGTGGTGTTGACACTTTTCCCACTCTCAGTTCCACTGAACAGATTTTATAGGGTTTTCTGCACTTCTAAACCCTGCAAAATTTGCTGCCCCAGAGATTGAAAAAGAGATAAGTGTGCTGACCATTTGAAACTCTGCCTCTACCATACCACCTTCACCGAATTGTCATACATTATTATTTTGCAAGCTATTGCAGGGGAAAGCCAAACATTTGAATGGCACATTTGCATAACCCGATACAAAATTTTCATAATTCAAACCATTTTATTTTCTTTAGCCATTGTTCCAGTTTCTTTATCTTAACTACTTTCAGGGCCAAAGTAACCACAGTTGTCAGTACCAATCTGGCAGGAATTGCTTTCTCTCCTTCTTTATGGTAACGCACAGTAGAGAAGCTAGAAGAATATTAAGGCCTTGTTGATGGTAGTAAGATGTTTGTAAATGTGTTTGTAAATGCAGTGGTGCAGTTAGATTAGATAATTTTGTACTCTGGATTTGATGTTTTTCCTGGCATCTCCTCTTCACATACTTAATTTCAAAATTTAACCAACTATCCTATTTGTGTTTGGGAATCCTCCTCATTCTGCTCAGTGGGCCCTGGACTCCTGTCTCAAAGTCCTGCTCTCATGGCTCCCTTGGAGGTGAGGTAGGGACATACATCCTGGTAGGATCTTGAGCAAATGTGATGCCCAGATCATTCATTCTGTGCTAACTCAGTTGTTTAGTAACAGCATTCCAGCCAATAACTTCTTTCAGTGGACCATCATGCTCATCAGAAATAAACAGTCTGATTGCATAACTTTGCTACATCGGTTTTTTTAGTATAAAATGGAAGCAAATTTTGTATCCAAAACAAGAAAAGGAAAATTACATGTATGTGTTACTGTAGCTGTAGATGCTGAAGTCCCAGCAGTTCATTCTCCATCATAACCATGTGCTGGAGGTGCTTTATAGCAGAAAAAGGACAAGAAGGAAGAGAATACTTGGTCCTTCCCTTCTTAGCTGTTTTTATAAAACACACCCCATTCAGCTGCCTTTATCTCCTAGTGATAAACCTGCAAATGTCTTGAACTCACCCACCCCTCCCCTGGTAAAAACAGCAGGCCTAAAGAAAGGATTGAGTACTCCTTTTCGTACTTGCACTTGCAAGAATGAAGAAACCTTCCTGCTTGGAGTGTGCCATGCTCCTTGACCTGGGCACAAACTAGGTGTTTTATGCATTGACTTGAATGGCCTCCAGAAAGGCCATTAGAAGCTTTTTTTTGGGGGGGGGGGGAGTAGTTAAGCAGGGTGGGAGTTGACAGGCAAGTGAACTGAAAGGGTATGGGTTAAATGACGCCCACCCTCTGCTCTAATTTTCCATCCTTTCCAAGGTGTTTGCCCCTTTAAAAGCCATAGCCCATCTTAGGTGTAGCAATCTTGGTCTAATAAACCATAGTTCACCAGTCCAGGGAGGAACTGTATACACCTAAGATTCCTCCTTCCCCTTTTTCCTTTTCCTGCCTGGCTTGGGTGAAGCTTCCCACCTGCTTCTTAAATCATTTTCCTGGGATATCTGAAGGTGGAAGCTATGAATTAAGGATGCTCCACAAACCACGTTATCAAACCAGTAATGGATCCATAGCTTTATTGAATCTGGTTCCTGTCTGAACTGGGCCTGAGTGTTAGCCTCTCCTTCTTTAGCTTGCCAAATTGAGGTTGCACCAATAAATTAAAACACGCTATTAATCATTCTAGATAATGGCACAGGTTCCAGCTCAATCTACAATGTTAGACTACAACTTACATTCCCTGTTGGGTGATTTTGATACACAATTTTTAAAGATGTCACCTCTTGCTCTTACCTTCTGGCTTTGGATCACATCAGAAGTGGAATGCTTGACTAGATGAAAGCCCATTAGTTCTAGCACCCACTCAGAAGCTTCAAGAATTTCACAGGAAGACATGAATGTGGCAATGGCCTTTCTATTCTGGCTTGGCCTCAGCACATGGCCTCTTCTTCATTCCTCTGTGTATGAAGGTTCCATTTAGCTAGCATGGCAAAAGTAGCTGCAGTTCAGTCACTGCATTGTGTAGTGATCCCTGACCCTGAAGGGAACTGATTCCCAGAAGTAATTTTGTAAACATGAGCAATGCCATTGAGGACTTTCAAAAATGCATAAGATGTCCTGAGCACAGGTCTGATATTTTTCTTTGAACATAGCAACCCTGTGCACTCTTGCTTGGAAGAAAGGCCAGCTGGACACTGTGGTGCATCCTTCCAATCAATCAAAGGCTAGGGCTAGGCCATATAGTTGCAAATCAATTTGCATGTACGAAGATGTGAGCCACATCATATTCACTGTGGCTCACCTATAAGCATAAGATCAAACTGGTAGTGGGCACATCTGCATTGTTTATTTGTGACAGAAATGAGGCTTGGTATATTAGCTTGCTTAAAAGCAACATTCTTAGTTGTATTTCTGTCAAGATCTTCATGACTGATGGAGACCTTGGTTGAGTTTGGGCATAATGCTAAACCCACTTTTAGCAGAATGGGAATGAGTTTCAAATTCATGTAGTGCCCCTGTATATACAAGGCAGCTAAGAGGGAATGATGAATCCACTTTTAAATTAGCAGGGTTTTCTCACTACATCCAAACTGGTTAGTTTAAATGATGGCTTATTGAAACAAGCCAGAATCAGAAACTAGAGTTTAACTCTGGGTAGTTTCAGTAATCAGCTATAGTTTAACCAGTTTGCCCCTCTTGGATGTAAGTGGAAACTAAATTTAGTTTTAAAATGGAAGCTTCCAGTCATTCTGGAAGAAGAGAAGGAAACCGTTAGCTTAAAGCTTGGGGGAAGGCAGTTGGGTGGCATGGAGGTGTCTCTTTCTGCCCTTGGAACTCAGACGGGAATAGTCTTGTGAGCGGAAACATCAAGAAAGGGTTGTCTGTACACAAAAGGTCATTTTGCACAAAATAAGCTGGCCTCACACAATGGGTGAGTTCACTTGACATGGCAACCTACCATGTAAATAAGCTATGTCATGTGGGTTGTTTGCATATGTACATGCAGATTTCAAGGCTGGAAATAAATGGAGGTGAAACATAACATAAATTTCCTCTCCATTTACTTACAGCCATGCAATCTTGTATATTTGTCAGTAAAACAACAGGTGCAGATTTGATATGCTAGAGCCTATGAGTAATTTTATAGATATGTGCCATCAAAGTGAAGACATGCTGTTGACCTTGCCTTGTAATTCCTTGAATGGGTACACACAATACAGCAAGTAACCGATGTTAAAAAAGGTAGCTTGTCATGCTATCCAAACACAGTTGTGCTAACCAGCCATTGCAACTTATTGTATTGCCAGTCACTATAAAATACAGTGGTCTGTTCTAGGTTTCCTCCCTGCCACAATTAATTGTTGAGTCATCTGAACTTGGACCACACGACCCATTGTGGTAGAAATCCCAGAACAAGAGAGCCACTTGGCAAGAACAGCAGTTGCTGCCCTTGCCAAGCAGCTAGCCAGAGAGCACAGCTTGCAGCTGTTCTAGTTTGGTGCAAATGTCAGAGTCTCAGTTCCTCCTGCACCAGAGATGTTTTTTTGGAGCAGGAGCCAGTCCAAGAGGCGGGGTGGGGCTGCCCTGAATGGGTGGTGCCACCTGGCCGATTCCCTCCCCCACCTGAGAGGAAACCCCTCCAGGGGGAGGAGAAAGAATCAGCAGGGCATCAGTGCCCCCTGCTCCTCTTCCCACCCAACCCTTGTCTGTGCATAGCTTACTTTATGGGCCTGGTATTGCATGGCTGCCCTGTCCTGCACTTTTGTTTGTGTGCTGCTCTCTGAAATGATGCTTGTGAACAGCTTAAATAGATTAGGCACTTCTGCCTAAAGACGAGGTTCTGGAACTTCTAGTCAGGCACTTCTGGGGTCATTATACCACTGGGGCTGGCAGAGCAGGGGTGCTGTGGCAGCGTTGTGCATGTGGTGATGGATGGGTATGTGCTGGGGCACGTCTATGCTGTTTTGAGTTTGGATTTCTGGTTGATATTCTCCTCATCTTATGGGCTGAGCATATATAGAATACAGTGACTGTCATGCCAGCCTAATGGCTGTATCTTGCCTAACCCTGGCATAATTAGGTATAGTGCATCGATGCTTTTTTCTAAGCAAAATTTTGGTGTAAATACTTTTGACAATTGGAAATCTGCTACAGATAATCACACACCATGTAAAGTTAGCATGATATACATGTAAAAACAAAATCTAAAGGCAAATCAAACACAGTAAACCTGTGCTTTTTAGCACAACACAAATTTTTTTGGAAAACTTTCCCATCCAAAATTTCTCAGAAAATCTGCATCACTGGCTAGAAATGCAAACATGTAAAACTGTGGGTGTTCTTATTTTAGTTGTTTTCTACACATTTCAGACAGTCCAAAAATATTTATTTTGGTTTTCCCGGGAAAGAATAATAATATTTGAGATTTTGAACAACAGGCTATTTCACAGCTCTGTTGCATAGCTAAGTCATGAAAATAAATGGATAACAGACTGTGATTCTTTTAAATGAAAGAATAATTGTTTCATGTAATAAAGCAAGCCACTTGACAAAATTTTGATAAGGCTGATGGAATCTTTCTGAATTAATACTTGGCAGGAGAGACGAAAGCCCATATCTTGAAATTAATAACTGGCTCAAGTTGTGTATATAGAAATATGAATGGTATAAAAGTCTCATAGGATTTTCCACTACACTTCAGATTTAAAAAAAAAAACACTGGGAGGAAAATTTGGGGAGGATTTCAGATCATTGGAAGAGTGCTAAAAAAAAGGCATGATTAGGGAATTAAATGGGGATTGGAAAACACATAAACTGTTAAGCTTAAAGCATATCCTTGTTAATCAGTAAAAATAATTAAAGTTAATATTGTCATTTCCAGACAGTGCCACTGAGGATAGTTATGTCACTTAGCGCCATAGGGATCAATTTCATCCACTGTGCAATTTAACATCTATGTGAAGCAACTGGAAAAAGTTATCTCAGGATGTGGGCTGAGGTCCCTTTTTTCAAGTAGCCCAGACAAGGCAGTGGATGTCCTGAACAGGTGTCTGAGCAGGATAATGACCAATAAAGATAAGGCCAATATTACAAGCTCAGTCCAAAGAAGACAGAGATATTTTGTTGATCTTCTCCCCAGTTGAGAGTAGTGTTCAGCATGCTCTGGAGAGGTTCAGCTCTCCCTGAAGGATCAGATAAGCAGCTTGCCTTCAGGTGCTTAGAAATCCATCATTATTGCTTGAGGCACCAATGGCCTCGATGGCTAGGAGCCCCTTCTTCCAGCTTGGGGCCTATCTGGACTGAGATAGCCTGGTGAATTCACACCCAGCAATCTCCCAGTTTGATTGCTGCACTGCATTATACATTATACATAGACTAGCTTAGAGGATAAGTTAGAAATTTCAGTTTGTTCAGTATAGATCTGCTGGATTAACCATTCAGTTGTACCAGTTTCTGGGCCAATTCAAAATATTGTGTGTTGAGTTTTGCAGGAGTAAATGGCTTGCCCTCCGTATATATAATGCAGGACTAGACGACCTATTAGGACCTTTGAACACATTTCTCATTTTGGAGGATCTACAGAACCATGTGTCTTATGGTCATTTGGGCCCATGGGCATTTAGTTTGGAGATTCCAGTTTTTCGTTTTCTCCTTGCCTGTCTTTTCTCCCCTTCACCACCACTTAGTCCTCAGGTTTTCATAGAAGAGTTGGAAGAGGCCATGAAGGCCATCGAGTCCAACCCCTTGCTGTTGCAGGACACTATGTTACACCATCCCACTCAGATGCTGTCCAGGTTCTTTTTGAATGTCTCCAGTATGGGAGCATCCACCACCTCTCTAGGCAGTTGGTTTCACTGTTGTATTGCTCTGACCATGAGGAAGCTTTTCCTGATGTCCAGCCTGAATCTGGATTGCTGCAACTTGATTTGATTAATCCATATCCTACATTCTGGCATTAGCAAGACAAGATCTTGACCTTCCTTTTTGTGACAACCTTTGAGATACTTATAGAGGGATATCATGCACCCCTCAGTCTTCTCTTCTCCAGGTTGAACATGCCCAGTTCCCTCAGTCTCTCCTCATAGGGCAGTGTATCCAAATTCTGGATCATTTTTGCCACCCTCTGCTGGACTTATTCTAATTTACCTGCATCTTTCTTAAATGTTGGTGCCCAGAACTGGACACAGTATTCCAGGTGCGGTCTGACTAATGTGGAGTATAGAAGAACTACTACTTCTTGTGATTTGGAAGGAATACTTCTGTTAATGCATCCAAAAATAGCATTTGCCCTTTTGGCAGCCGCAGCACGTTGTTGGCTCATGTTTAACCTATTGTCCACAATTACTCCAAGATCTTTTTCTTGTCCAGTTCTGTTAAGCCACGTATTACCCATCTTGTATTGATGCATTTGGTTTCTTTTTCCTAGGTGGAGGACTTGGCACTTGTCCTTATTGAATTTCATTCTGTTGGTTTCAGCCCGGTGTTCAAGTTTATCAAGATTGCCCTGGATTTCATTCTGTCCTCTAGGGTGTTTGCTATTCTGTCCAGTTTTGTATCATCTGCAAATTTGATTAACTTTCCTTGTACTTCCTTATCTAAATCATTAGTAAAGATGTTGAAGAGCACTGGGCCCCGGTCTGAACCCTGTGGCACCCTACTACTTCTTGTTGTTGTTAGTCGCGAAGTTGTGTCCGACCCATCGTGACCCCATGGACAACATTCCTCCAGGCCTTCCTGTCCTCCACCATCCCCCGGAGTCCACTTAAGCTCACACCAACTGCTTCAGTGACTCCATCTAGCCACTTTATTCTCTGTCGCCCCCTTCTTCTTTTGCCATCTATTGTTCCCAGCATTAGACTCTTCTCCAGGGAGTCCTTCCTTCTCAGGTGGCCAAAGTATTTGAGTTTCATCTTCAGTATCTGGCCTTCTAAAGAGCAGTCAGGGTTACCGCCATCCAATTTGAGAAGGTTCTTCGAGCGAGCAAACGGCATGCGGGGTGAGGTGGGCGGCGGTAGGCATGTGTGTGGTTGCAGTGGGTCCTAATGGGCATGGCGGGCCGGATACAGCCCCCGGGCCTTAGTTTGAGGACCCCTGCTCTAGGGTGTTTGCTATTACACCCTGTTTTGTATTACCTGTGAATGTGATTATCTTTCCTTGTACTTCCTCATCTAAATCATTAATAAAGATGTTGAAGAGCACTGGGCCCAGGACTGATTCCTGTGGCACCCCACTAATTACCTTCATCCAATTTGAGAAGGTGCCATTGATGATCACTCTTTGTGACCAATTTAGCAGCCAATTCTGGATCCCCCTAATAGTTTTTTCATCTAGTCCAGTTTTTGCTAATTTGCTTATCCGAATATTGTGTGGCACTATGTCGAAAGCTTTGCTGAAGTCAAGGTTGATTATTTCCACAGTGTTCCATTTGTCCATTTGGGTAGTTACCCAGTCAAAAAATGAGATTAAATTAGTCTGGCAGGATTTATTTTTGATAAATCCATGCTGACTTCTATTAATCATTGCATTTTCCTCAAGATTATTATTATTTTTTTAAGCAGATGAATTTTTAAATTATTTGCTCCATACTTTTTCCAGGGATTGATGTCAGACTAACTGGTCTACAGTTCTCAGGTTCATCTTTTTCCCCTTTTTGAAGACAGGGGCAACATTAGCCCTTCTCCAGTCGTCCGGCACTTCTCCTGTTTTCCATGATTTATCGAAGATGATAGCCAGTGGTTCTGAGAGACTGGCTTTTTCTCCCCTCTTTTTTTCTTCTCTCTCTCCACACATGCCGCACTGTATTCTTGCCTCCTTTTTTCTCCTGCTGCTTCTGCCTCCTCTCCTATTTTGGTTTCTATCCTCCTCTGCAATGCCTTTCCCAATCCTCCTCCTTACACAGTTGCCATGATCACCAGTTTTTCCTCATAATTTAGATTTGGTTTCATGGTATGCATTTTTTTTAAAGTTCTGTAAGTCATTTTGGGTTTCTTTTTGAAAACACCAGGCTATAGGTTTCTAAATAAAGTACATTATTCCTTTTTTCAGTCCCTGTTTCAGAGCTACTTTGCTTTTTCAAGTGTCTTGCTCTTTGTAGCTGCAATCTGAGAGCAGCAAGAGTTACTCCAGGCCTTTATCATAGATAGGGTATCCCTTCTCCTTTTGGTCAGCATCTACCCCATGCTCCCTTCTCTCATTCCAACAGGAAAGCCAGGGCTATTCATTGCCACAGTGCTCCAGTTGGTATGTCTCAAGCATACCCTTTCCCTCTCTTTATTCCTTTCATAGCCATTTACTCAGTACTGAAGGCAATGGTCCTTACGTTCCATTTTATTTATCACACTAGGACAAACAGAAAGACATTACAGCAGTTGCCCACAACTCTGCAACTGGGCAGGTGCTGTTCTTGACACTGAAACTCCGCAGTTATTCCCAAATGCACAGCTGTATAGGCATGAATTCAAAAGTGTCTCTTCAAAAAGCTAAAAGCTCACCATCCAGCCTGACTGATTGTGAACAGAAGACTCCTTTTTCCTTCCCCTGGAACAATGAAAGTGGGGAAGGAAAGCTGCCACACTGTTCTGCAGACTGAAGTTCTTCCCACCAGTACCGCTCATAACTGTTTGTCATTTGTCCATGCCAGTCAGTAGGAAACAGCCACAGTAAATCACAATAAAAGATAATCATATAATGGGTCTACAGAGAGATGGAAGTCGGAGGAGGACTCAGGTTTGGTGAGTGTGCAGTGTGGGGTGCAACTGAACCAAATGTTCCAGTGTTGGGAAAACCCTTAGTACTTGATATAGCTTTGACATCACTTGGTGGACCATTTCCTTTTTCCACTCTGAAGTGTATGAAATGTCTGCTTGTGGTGTTCGATCTGTGCTGGCTGTTTCACCCATGAGTTGGGCCCCTTGTTTTTGCCCATATGGACTTTTCATAGAATTGCCTGTCAGCCACTTAATTTACTGTTCTGTGAGCTCTGCCTGATGACACTGAATTCTTGACAGAATGTTCTATATTTCAGCTCAGCCTAGCACGCCTTTATGATAGGGATGTGTGTGTCTACCTACTTTTGTGGTACAAAAGGAAATCACAATCCTTTTGCATCTCTACATGTCAGCATTATTTTTGCTCCTGCCTGATAATATAGGCAATGGCACTCCCTGTGAGTAGAAACAGTTATCCAGGCAAAACATTCTTGTAGTACAAGGAAAATGTTTGCATTGCAACTTCAACTTGTATAGCAATAAGCAAAATCTGTATTAATATATAGTTTCTTAATAAGATGTCCACATGTTTTTGCTAGTATAGGTCATCCAAAGCCAAACAGCCCAAGATTTAAGTTTAACTTCATTGCAGATGTGGTGGAGAAGATTGCACCAGCAGTAGTACATATTGAACTTTTCCTAAGGTGAGTTGCTAACATTTTAGGATAAAAAATTAAAATAATTTTGACTTAAATATATAAAGATTATCTATTTTAACAGATAACTACAGAGCTGCTCCAGAATTGCATATGGGTCCCATGCATTAAATTAATGTCTGTGTGGAGACTTGGTTGTGTCACCAAGTTGTGTAAAATACTTCCTATCTCTTATATTGCATATCGGCACTGAGAAGCCTGTTGGCAGAAGTAGCCAGGGAATGGTCTGCTTATTTAGTGTGAGCATAATAAGTTAACCTGGGTATAAATGGCAGCAGGGAATACCAGAAAAGTAAATTTCATGGTAAATGCAAGTTTGAGGTAATGATTTCTCTGCAGGAATGGTTCAAAATCTATAGTTTCATCATTTTGCACAGGGAACAGTTGCAACTGGACAAGTGATGCAGTATATCTGTGACCTGATACCCCATGTTTTTTTTATTCCCCTAAAAGCAGCTGCTGCTCCCTGCTCTGTGTCACCAGTTTGCATTGGTATCATCATGCTGGTGATGAGTTCGACTCTCTGCCTGCATCAGTTCCTAGATGGAACTTGTTCATCCCCCAAAGTTGTAGGTCTGCATCCCTCCACTGGTGGCTCATGCGAAGACCTTTTTATTTTGCTGGTATTTTAAGTGTTAATCTGTTTTCAGTGGCATTTTAATAGAATTTGGTATAGAAACATACTAACAGAATTAAGTCAGAAGGGGTCTTCTGGGCCATCTAGTCTGACCCCTGGTTCCAGCCAGCTCCACTCATGACATGCCTACCATGTGCATGTCCAGCCTTTCCTTAAACACCCTCACCGTTGGGCCTTCAACCACCTCCCGTGGAAGCCCATTCCATACCCTCAGGGTCCTAACCGTCAGGAAGTGCTTCCTGGCATCCAAACTGAACCTTAGTTCCCTGAGCTTTGCTCCATTGGAACACATCCTGCCCTCCACTGCAGGGCAAAAAAGGTCATGACCCACCTCTGCATGGCACCCCCTCATGTACCTGTATGACATTAACATACCACCTTTGAGGCTCCTCCCCTCAAGGCTGAAGAGACCCAGCTCCCTCAGTCTCTCCTCATATGGCTTTCCCTGCAAACCAGCCACCATCCTAGTGGCCCTTTGCTGCACTGCTTCCAACCTTGCTATATCCCTCTTGTAATGAGGGACCCAGAATTGACCACAACACACCAGTTGTGGGTGCACCAGAGTTGTATAGAGTGGCAGTAATACCTCTTTCAATTTAGAAGCCGTGCTTCTGGCTACGCATCCAAGGGTGGCGTTTACCCTCTTGGCTGCTGCATCAAACTGCTGGCTCATGTTTAGTCTGTAGTTGACCAGCACCACAGGATCCTTTTCACAAGTGCTGCTCTCCAGCCATTTGTCTCCTAACCTGTACTTATGACACCCATTCCTATGCACTAAGTGCAAGACCTTGCACTTATCTGCATTGAACACCATTGTGTTGCCCCTTGCCCACTTCCATAGTCTGTCCAGATTTTTTTGGATCCGAAGTACCTGCTCATCAGTTGTGGCTACCGCCCCCATTTTGTGGTACGGTGCATTTTTTTGTCTTGTTGTTTTATTGTTATTTGATCGTTGTGTTTTTCTATGGTTTACTGTTGTAACCCACCCAGGGAGCCATGTGGCTGGCAGGCTAGAAATCAAATAATAAATTAGTTAAGTAATCATAACCCAGTCCACGGCCAACCCTGCAGCCTCAATCTATGTGAGTAGCTGCTTTTCAAAAGATAAAAAGACACTAGGAAATATTTACTATGAAATATTTGTATTCCACCTTTTAGAACCAGTTCTTCACAACCGAGTTACAAAATAACCATAAAATAGGCCAATGCATCAGATGTGGACAACTCCCAGTATTGCGGGGCCACATTGCTCCCCCAGTCCTGCTCTTAGTGACTTATGCTGCCAAACTTTGGTGGTGCAGTGGCACCAACAGCAAGGAAAAATATCCTGTCTTTAAAAGCTAAAAGTGTGGTTTGCTGTTGAAATTAAGTGGCACAAGAGAGGCCGTACGAGCTGTTCAATAGCAGAACAGCCTCATCTGCACAGCCACACCACTGAATTTTGGTAGCAAAGTACTCTTGGCTTTTGAAGGCAAGGCTGCTTCTACTTTCAGCTGTACCATTGCATTTCAGCAGCAAATTTGGCAGTACAGCAGCAGTGGGTTATAAGGGACACAAAAAGGGCCACAGGAGCCTGCATGTGAGGGTTGTGTATTGCCCATTCCTTCACTACATAAAAATAATCAGGATTGTTTAAAACATCATGAGCAAGCACAAACTCTGCCTAGCAAGGACTTGGCAAAATAAAAAATCAACCAAAGGCAGTGTCTGCCTGTGTTTGATGGTTTCTGAAACACAAATGTAGATAATTGTTGTGTCCTTCAATATTTTTCTGTAAGCTGTTTTGATTAACAGATGTCCTTGGCATTTGTTTTACAGGCATCCTTTGTTTGGCCGTAATGTTCCTCTTTCCAGTGGATCTGGGTTTATTATGTCAGACACAGGTTTAATTGTAACCAATGCCCATGTAGTCTCCAGCAGCAGTACAGTGACTGGACGGCAACAGTTAAAAGTGCAACTACAGAATGGGGATACGTATGAAGCAACAATCAAAGACATTGATAAAAAATCTGACATTGCAACAATAAAAATCAATCCACTGGTAAGCTGAGAAAAGAATACTGCAGTGCACTACACATGAAGCTACCCCTGAAAAGTGCTTGGAATTTATAGCTAGTGCAGGATGTAGTCACTAGACTTTAAGAGTACAGTAGTCCCTCGAAATTCCCAGGGGTTACGTTCCCCAAAGCACCTGCGAATTGTGAAAAACTGCGAATTTGGTGCCGGCGATGGGCGCCGGCTGCCAAGGTGGTGCGGGTGAGAGGCACGAGCTGGACTGGGGGACGGGTGTGCGCGCATGGTGAGGCAGGGGCAGGGGTGTGCGTGCGCACGCAGAAATCGTTTTCTCCGAGCGAGTCCAAACTCAGAGCTAACAATATCCTTGCAAGTAAGCAGCCGCACAGTGAGGAGATCGGCTTGGACTCGCTTGGAGAAAAATCCAGCGAAAGACCGAAGCAGCAATTGCTGACCTGCGACTTCACAGGGGTATACTGTACTTTGAAGTATTAGAATAACTTAACTGGATTTCAGTCTTTTCTGGGCACAATTCAAGGTGCTGTGATTTGTCCAGTAATGTCCTAGATTATTTCAAGTGAGGCTATTTGGAGGACTATCTCCTTCCATATGAACCTGCCCCCAAGTTCTGTAATACGTCCACCTCCAAGAAAGACTAGCATGGTGAATACTCAAGACAGAATGTTTCCAGGAGCAGCACCCCGCTTACGGAACCTTTTTCTCATGCCAAAGTAAGACTGGTCCCTTCCTTATTTTGACTGAGATGAACAGTGAAGTCTGTTCTTTCCAGTCAGGCTTTTAAGTCACTCTTCAATTTTAATTTTCATGCCCATTTGTAAAGTTAATAAATAAGTGCACCCAATATTTGCCAAATACAGATTGCATATAAACCAATAAGTCTAGTCTTTTGTAGCCCTTGTCTCTTTCTTGAGGCATTGTCCATCCATGTGAACATGTGTTAATTAAAATTCAAATTAAATTTGTACTTGAAGTGGATCAAATATTTTTTCCAAATTTCAGACCCTTTTCTGGCCTTTATTTCATGTGTTTCAGCCTTTCTGCAAGGAAATGGCACTCAAGGCTACTTACAATCATAGCCAACCTGGTATGTCTTCTCTAGTAAGATAAATACATCAGCATGCAAGTTCTTTAGGTTATGTAGGGCCTGGTCCTTACTGAATATTCATTCAGATGGCAAGGTTGGTGGCGCAGGCTTGAAAAACAGAGTTCAGTCTATGAAGTTTGTGCTAGAGACACAGTGCAGGAGATCATAGAATAGCAGAGTTGGAAAGGGCCAGAGGGCCATCAGGTCCAACCCCCTGCTCAGTGCAGGACTCCAGTTTAAAACATCCCTCACAGATGGCTGCCCAGTTGCATTTTGAATGTCTCTAGTATGGGAGAGCCCACAGCTCCCTAGTTAATTAGTTCCATTGCCGTAGTGCTCTAACAGTCAGGAAATGTTTCCTGATATTAAGCCAGAATCTGAAACTTGAGCCTATTAATGCCACCAAAAATAGAATTTGCCCCTTTTTCAGCCACATCACATTATTGACTCATTTAGCTTGCAATCTGCAACACTTCCAAAATCTTTCTCATTTGCAGTATTGTTGAGCCAAGTACTCTCAATCTTGTAATGATGCATTTGGTTTCTTTTTTCTAGATGTAGAACTTGACGTTTGTTCCTATTGTATTTCAGTCTGTTGTTTTCTGCTCAGGTCTCCAACCTATCAGGACCACCTTGAATCTTCTTTTTGTCTTCCAGGGTATTAGCTATCCCACCCTGTTTGTGTCTTCTGTAAATTTGATCATCGTTTCCTGATCATTAATGAAAGTGTTGAAGAGTGCTGGGCCCAAGACTGAACCCTGCAGTACCTCACTCAAAGGTGTCCTTGATGAGCACCCTTTGAGTCTGATTCTGTAGCCAACTGTGGAGTCACCTGATTGTTGTTCCATCCAGCCCACTTTTAGCTAGATTTTTCATCAGGATATCCTGGGACACTTGGTCAAAAGCTTTGCTGAAATCTAGATAAATTATGTCCACAGCATTCCCACAGTCTCTCAGGGAGGTTACCCAGACAAAAAATGAAACCAGTTGAGTCTGGCAGAATTTATGCTTGAGAAATCTGTTTTAGCTTCTAGTAATCAATGCATTGCTTTCAAGGTGTTTGCAGACTGATTGCTTTATAATCTGCTCCAGAATTTTCCCAGAGCTGGAGGTTAGAATGATTGGTCTGTAGAACCCAGGTTCTTCTTCTTTTTCTTTCTTGAAGATAGAGACAAGATGAGCACTTCTCTAGTCATCTGGCACTTTCCCTGTCCTCTCCATAATTTCTCAAAGATAATAGACAATGGTTCTGAGAGGGCTGGGGTTAGGGTTCTGAGAGTTCTTCTGCCAGCTCCTTTAAGACTCTAGAATGGAGTTCATTGGGCCCTAGAGATTTGCTCTTATTCAACCCAATTAGATGATCCTTGACCATTTGTCTATCAATCTTGAGCTGCCATCCTGTTCCTTCAGCTTGCATTTCCCTTTATTCATAAGGTCATAGATCTTCTTTTGGGAGAAGACTGAGCCAAAGTAGGAATTGAGTACTTCTTTTTTTGGTCACCTGTTATCATTTGCCATCAACACTGAGTAGCTGAACCCCCATCTCTGTCCTCTGTCTTTTACTTTGAACATATTTGACAACGGTTTTTTTGTCACTTCACTAGTCTTGGTTCATTCCTTTAGAATTTCTTGTAAACCACCCAGAGCCTAAGGGAATGAAGCGGTATATAAATATTGAGCTAAATAAAAATAAAATCAATTTCCTAGCCTTAGCCTTCCTGATGCCATCCTTGCAATTCCATGCTACCTGCCTGTAGTCTTCCTTTGTAGCCTGGCCTTTCTTCCAGTTCCTATACATGCCCCCTTTTGTTTTCAGATAATCTCTAAGCATTTTGTGAACCCACATGGAATGTTGTCTTCTACCATTGCTCCATGTTGGAACTGTTTACAATTGCACCTTTAGAATTTCCCTTTTAAAAAAAAATTCTCACCCATCTTGGATTCCTTTTCTTTGTAGGCACTTGCCATAGGACTTAATCATTGTTCTGAGTTCATTAAAATGGCCTTTCCCAAAATCCAGGTACATGTTTGCTTACATTTGCCTTCTACTTCCATGGTGTGAGACAGACATATGCGCATGGTGTGTGTGCACGCACGCACACACACACGCCTTACTGTAAGTGGTAGGGACTTCCTTCAGAGTAACCATGTGAACTTTATTGTTGAGAAAAAATGTGAATGCAAAACACTCATAGTTCCACCCTTTGTGACATTACTTTTGATTGCAGGAATAGCCTTTCCTGCTTGACCAAACTTTATCAGAAGTGAGCATGATAATTTGATTTGCTCAGACATAACCAGGATTTTTGCTTTCCAGAAAAAATTGCCGGCCTTGTCAATGGGCCAGTCTGGTGATCTGAGGCCTGGGGAATTTGTTGTGGCTATTGGGAGCCCTTTCGCATTACAGAACACTGTAACAACAGGCATTGTCAGCACAGCACAACGTGATGGCAAGGAGCTGGGCTTGAAGGATTCTGATATGGACTACATTCAGACTGATGCCATTATCAATGTAAGTGAATGCTCTGTGGCTTCAGTAATCTCTAAACTACTGAAGTACCAGAGATAGTCCTTTTCTGTCAGCCCATCTGTGAAATCACTGATAAAGGAAATGCTGTCAAGTATCGCAGCTGGCAGTTTCTTTAGTTTGCAGGCACCCAGCACATCCTGCCATAGTTCTTTTGGCTGCTTCAGAGAAACCACTACTTCAAAACTACCTTAAGTCGACATGGTAAAATTACAAAGACCACTTGAGTATAGTGGTATGTTTTCTATTTATTGATATAAATGCTTCAACTTATCTCTTTGTTTTTTTAAGCTTGTAGAATTTGGTGCAACTCTTTCATGTGTTACCTGGTCTTCCCACAGGTGTGAGTACAAACACTGAGACAGACAGGAGAGGAACTGTGGGAGGACAGCTCCATGGCTGTCCAATTCATCTACTTTTGCCTTTCTCTAGTGTGACAAAGTGGCTTTTTATAGATGTAGACGCAAAAGGCAGTAACATGTGATTAATGAAAAAACATGAATTGATTTTCCTACAACTTTCAATTTGATCCTTAAGCAAATAAGTGTGCAATCCTATGCAAGTTTAATCAGAAAAAATTACTGTGACTCCCAACTATATGCCAGCCATCATCCCAGTTGTCAGATTTTGTTCTCTTAAGTATACATAGGAATTTGCCCCAAGTCAGTGAAATGTATGTGTGAATCTCTTTGTGAGGCACAGAATGTGAAATGTCTGCTTAATGGATACATGCCTCTGCAATACAATTTTGACATTTTGAATGTACGCTCACTTTTCTTTTATTATTTTACAGTACGGAAACTCAGGAGGACCACTGGTAAACTTGGTAGGAGCTTCTTACATTAACAGAGCCCAATTAAAATTATTTGTTCACATAATGTGGTTGTTTCAAAATGGGGGAAATCCAAAATACTTATTAAAATGTTTCTCTTTATTACCTCAAATCCAGTAGTTCTGGGGGACTTGTCAGGTGAAAGCAAATGTTTTCAGAAATCACAAAATCACAGTCTATTAGTTCTTTTTTTCCCAAGCCGTGAAAACAGGAGTGTAAAGCAGACAGAGCCACAAAAACACTATCTCTGTCTCACCTAATCTAAACTAGATTCTGTACTCTTCATGACCAGGCTGAGACTTTCCAAAGTCTCAGGATGAGAGAGGTCATGCCCAGCCCTGCTTTTCCTTAAACAAAGATGCTGGACACCCCTATATATGCAGTGCTCCATCACTGAGCTATGGCAGATGCCTTGGGTTTGTTTATTTATTTTGAAAATGCTGTAGAAGCCTGACCTTCTGGTCCAGTGGGCAAGGTACAATGGCCAGTGCATCAGTCCAACATCAGAAATAGGGAATTTATTTTGCTCTCTGTAACCTTCTCATTTTTTTCAAGCACAAGTACATTCCATCCCATTTCCACATCAGTTTGTGAATTTTTAAAAGTCTGTATTTGTACACATTCTTCATTGTGGCCTCTGTGCATCACACATTATGGGTGCTGTGCCTGCGCAGTGCCTGTAACTGGGAAGATTTAACCGCTTTAATGGTTTTTGGCAGGAACTCTGCACCCTCCCCCCTTATAGTATAAATGGGCGGAGTGCCTGCCATTTCCCCAGTCTCCTTGCAACCACCATTCGCTGTGCCTCAAGCCTTTCACTGTTTCTCTTGTACCTATATTTGCCGTTGTTTGCATAAACTCTCTGCTTTTCTCTCTTGTTCAATTTCCTTTCCTAAGTTATAACTACCTAATCCCCCCCCCCCGTTCTAGTTTTCTCCCCTTTCTATCGTTATTCTTGTTATATCTTTCTCTCGTTCGCTATCCTCTCTTTTCTTCAGTGGCTCAGCGAGTGGCATTTTGTAAGTGTTCCCAGTGCGGGGCTAAAATTGGGAGACATCTAGAGCGTAGGTGGAGGAAATCACGGGATGAATCTGACCGAACACACTTGAGAGCCCATTATCGGGCCTATGCTGTGGCACCACCTTCTGAAATTGGCCATTGAGATAGGAGCGGAACCACCGCCACTTGGTGCCTCCAACTCCCAGTCCTGCCAGCCTATTCAGAAGGATACCATGGTCGATGGTATCGAAAGCCGCTGAGAGGTCCAGGAGAACTAACAGGAACGCACTCCCCCTGTCTCTCTCCCTGCACAGGTCATTGTACAGGGCGACCAAGGCAGATTCAACATCTACATGAAACCGCTGGGAGAGGTCATTAGGAGGTGTAGGCTGCGGAATCATCAGTACGCTGATGATACCCAGCTCTACCTCTCATTCTCAACTAATCCAGGTGAGGCGGTGGCTGTACTGAACCAGTGCCTGGCCGAGGTAATGGGCTGGATGAGGGCCAATAAACTGAGGCTCAATCCAGACAAGATGGAGGTCCTGTTGGTAGGTGGGTCGGGCTTCGGGATGGGGGACCTGGACCTTGTCCTGAATGGGGTTGCACTCCCTCTTAGGGACAGGGCACGCAGCTTGGGAGTGCTCCTCGACCTGGAGCAGTCATTAGAAGCTCAAGTAACAGCGGTGGCAAGGAGCGCTTTGCTTCAGCTTCGGCTGATTCATCAGCTGCGTCCCTACCTGGAGAACGACTGCCTGGCAACTGTGACACATGCATTGGTAACTTCCCGATTAGATTTCTGTAACGTGCTCTACATGAGGCTACCCTTGAAGACGGTCCGGATACTTCAATTGGTGCAAAATAGACCTGCCAGGTTGCTGATGGGGACTGGGCATTGTTCTCATATAACCCCAGTTCTCCGTCAGCTTCACTGGCTCCCCATTGAAGTCCGGGCCCAATTCAAGGTGTTGGTTATCACCTATAAAGCCCTCAACAGCTTGGGACCTGGTTATCTAAAGGAGCACTTGCGTCCATATATGCACTCCCACCCCCTGAGATCGGCGGACGAGGCCCTTCTCCGGGAGCCCTCTGTGAAGGACATTAGAAGGGTGGGTACCCAGAGGAGGGCCTTCTCTGCGGTGGCGCCCCACCTGTGGAATGCGCTCCCCAGAGAGGTCCGCCTGGCACCATCCTTATTTGTTTTTCGGTGCCAGGCCAAGACTTTTTTATTTAAATGATATTTTAATTGTTAATTGGTTGTTGTTATTTATTGGTTTTAAATTATGGCCGAGATTCTCCGAATTTTTAATGTTGTTCTATTCTATGATTATTTATTTTCCTTGTGAGCCGCCCCGAGGCTTCTGCGATGGATGCGGCATAGAAATGTTATAAATAAAATAAAATAAATAAATAAAATGTCCCCCACTGATCCACACGACCTGTGCCTTCTTTGCTTGGGGGAAGGCCACAGGATTGATAAGTGTGGCCATTGCCAGTCCTTTACAAGGTAGGCCCGTAAGAATCGGGAGAACCGCCTTTGGAAGATCCCATGGAACCAGGCTTTGGTTGCCTCTAATCAGGTCTCGACCGCTCCTCCTCCTCATCCATCGGCTGATAGTACAACTCCTAAGGAGACTAAACGCTCCTCTCTTTCTCGTCATCACAAGCAGAAGGTGAAGAGAAAGCACCTTGGATCCAATGAACCTTCGGCGCCTAAGAAAGCCAAGAAGGACAAGGCAGATAAATCGGATTGCAAGCATAAAAAGCTTGCCAAGCGGCCACAAGGAGACTCGGTTTCAGCCACTCCGTCAGTACTGACTGCTGTTCCGATCCCGACACTGACCGGTCTGAATATCCAATCAGTCATGCAGCTGACCCCACCAGGATCTCCTCTGAGAATCGTCATCTTGGCCCCATTGACTCCAGACCTCTCATAGGCTGTTCTTAGAGGGTCCATGTCTGATGGTGAGATCCGGGACTCACCTCCACGATCTCAGACTGGACTACCATTGGCACATTCAGTGCTGAACTCCAGTGCTGACTTCTCCTGAGGCTTCTCCGCGGGCTCCGCCTCAGTCGCAGATTCACCAACAACAGCACGCTCCGGTTCCACCTTCTAAGTTCTGGGTGCCCATGCCATACGGTGACATCAGCCCATCTCAGTCCTACCCATGGGATTACTACCCACCGTATGGCTACTATCCAAGCCTTTCATCCGCCCACATCATTCGACACCTCATCCGTTTCTGAGAATTGGGGGTTGCTCTCCCCCAGCCTCCTCCTTCTCCAGCTGGTTCATCCTCCAGTCCCCCGTATCATTCCAATCTGGATTCGGAGGACTTGGAGCAGGCATCTTACCTCACCTGACGCGGTCATCTCCACACAGGGTCCCGGCATCTCCAGCTTCAGAGAACTGTAGGCTCTACTGACCAGGTCGTTGAAGACCGATGTACAGAATCGCACCGATACCAACCAAGATAACATCTATGACATTGTCAGGAAGGAAGAGTCTTCTACCATCTCCTTGCCGTTTATTACGACTCTTCGGCAAGCCATGACTGACACCTGACAGTTACCAAACCAGCCACACCTGACCTGAACACTCGTGTCCACGTATAAGGTTCGGGAACAAGACATCCCATTCCTTTTGAAGTACCCCAAGCCTAACTCGATTGTCATCGAGTCCTCTCAAGGTTGGGAAAATAAGGAGCACTCTACTCCTAAAGATAAGGAAGGCTGCAAAATCGACATGATGTATTGCCGAATCTATGCTGCCATGGGACTCAGGGTTCACATTTTCAATTATGAAGCTACAATGGCCAGATAGCAGTACTTTCTGAAGCAGAAGCTGGAATCCATCACCTCGAGTCTCCCCAGAACAGCAGAGGGACCTTACTCGTGTCTTTACCTGCAAAGCCATGCAGCTGGCCATCGAACAACTAAATATGGCAAGACATCATGTCGATTGCGATTGAAGGGGTCTCATCGGTGCCATCGCCCTCACTGTCTGCACCCATCTGAGGCTACAAGGCATCCACATCTACCCTTATCTCGATGACTGGCTGATCATCTCCTCTTTGAGGGAAGGTCTCCTAGCAGCCATCGATACTATTTGTGCCCTCCTTGATAAACTTGGACTGTGTATTAATGCTGAAAAACCCTGCCTCGTTCCTTCACAGGTCATCAACTTCATCGGAGCTTGCCTCAACTCACTTTCCACCCGTCTTTTCTCCCTCGGGCTCAAAAGGACAAGCTGTGTTCCTTCATTCATCGGATCTCCATGCATTGGACTGTTTCCGCGCTGTCCGTACAAAAGCTGCTTGGACATATGGCTTCCATGGTCTTGGTGGTTTCCAATGCCAAATTGCAGATGAGACCATTGTAGCTATGGTTCAACCGTCTCTTCCATCCGCAACACGACCAACCTCATTGCCTGCTTCAACCACCTGCCTTGGATTCTGTCATGGTGGACCGTGGAGAACAACTTATCTGTTGGGGTCCCATTTCGACAGCCTCAGCTGGCTCTGACACTCTACACTGATGCTTCCCTTGCGGAATGGGTAGCACACTGTTCCGACTTCTGCATTCAGGGAACTTGGCAGGGACACAGGACCTCCAGATATATCAATTATCTGGAACTTCTGGCAGTCTTCAAAGCCCTCTGGTACTTTGAGAATCTCCTTTGGAACCAAGTCATTCAGATCACTTCGGACAATGTAGTCTTAGTGTTTTACATCAACAAACAGGGAGGCACAAAATCTGCCCTGCTGGCTTATCTTGCCCTCTGTCTATGGGACTGGTGTATTGCAAGGAGGATTGTCCCTCTCACTGTTCATCTGGCAGGAGCTGACAATGAGGAAACGGACTCCCTCAGCAGATGCATGTCGACAACTCACGAGTGGGAGTTGGATCACCAGATCTGCCAACATCTTTTCAACGCTGGGGCCCACCAGACATAGACCTGTTTGCCACCCGCAACAATTCAGTATGCACAATTTATTGCTCCTGGGCAGGCATCGGTCCAAACTTGGTTGGAGACACACTGATGGTCCCCGGACGAACAGATTCTTTTACGCATTTCCTCCAGTACCACTGATAACAAAGACTCTAGCCAAAATCAGTCAAGACAATGCCCAAGGGATTCTCATCACACCTTGGTGGCCCTGTCAACTGTGGTTTCCCACCATTCTCCACCTCTCCAGAAACACCTTTCATTATCTTCCACTGATTCCACATCTTCTCACTCAACACAGTGCCATTCAACATCCGGATCTACATTCTCTGTACCTTATGGCCTGGCTTATTCAATGACTGACGCTGTCTATTCAATATCAACAAATCCGTTGGATTTGACCCACCTCCTCAGCCGGTTTCAACATCGGTACCTAGTTCTTCATTGAATCTGGACACTTTCCATCCTGACATACAGTTTATTCTCCAATCTGCTCTAAGATCAGCTACTCGCTGCTCCTATGAGGCTAAATGGAAACGCTTAACTTTGTTCGTGTTAACCAACCAATTCACTCCTCTATCAGCTTCAATTGAGAACATTTTACAATTTCTTCTTTCTCTACACCAGAATGGACTTAAGCCTTCTATTAAAGTTTATATCTCTGCTATTTCACACCATTGCGGTTCCATATCCAGCTCATCAGTGTTCTCACATTTCCTCATTCATCACTTCTTGAGAGGACTACAGAATCTCCAACCACCAATCCGTTCAGTGGTACTGATGTGGAGTCTCTCAGTGGTTCTCCAGGCTCTCACCAAACCTCTGTTCGAACTGCTAGCTACTATGGACCTACGGCTTTTATCCTGGAAAATGGCTTTCCTTATAGCCATTACTTCAGCTAGAAGGGCTGGTGAACTGTTATAATAATAACAACAACAACAACAACAACAACTCTGTTCTTTACGGATTGATCCTCCTTATTTCAACTTTCACAAAGAGAAAGTCATTCTCCGTACCAACCCGACCTTCCTTCCTAAGGACGCTTTGCCTTTCTACATCAATCAAGATATCATCTTGCTGGCTTTCTTTCCTACGCCCTTGACACCGATAGAACGTTCTCTACATACACTGGACGTCTGCTGATGTTTGGCATTCTATCGATCCTGGACTGAGTCTTTCAGGAAAACTAAATGCCTTTTTGTCAAATACTCTGAACACAACAGAGGCTCTCTGATCACTTCTCAGACACTCTCTAAGTGGATTGTTCAAACTATTGAACTCTCCTACTGTCTATCCAAGTTGGACTTACCTGTGATGCCTAAAGGTCATTTCACAAGGGCTGTTGCCACTTCTTCTGCCTTTTCTGTTGGCATCCCTATGCATGACATCTGCAAGGTGGCTATCTGGACTACCCCGTGCACGTTTACCAAAGACTACTGACTAGATGTTCGGGCCAGACAGGACTGTTCTTTTGGCCATGCAGTCCTCTCCTCAGTTCTTCAGTGATGACACCGTCCCGCCTCCAGGTGTGGTAAGCTTGCTAATCACCCATGTGTGTGATGCACAGAGGCCACGACGAAGAAAGGCAGGTTGCTTACCTGTAACTGATGTTCTTCGAGTGGCCATCTGTGCATTCACACAACCCACCCACCAGCCCCACTTGGTGTCAGTTACTGGGTTGATAAGAATTACTTATGTCTGTTCTCCTACACTCTTATACCTATATAGTATAGATATATATTATATGATATAGTATATATATATATATACACTATATATTATATGATTACTTACTTGAGCATCTCTATTTTATCTGTCATTTACTGTGAATTCGATTCACCGAATCCACCTGGGGGCGAATAGACGGTCTACAGTAGACTGGAGAAATGGCGGGCACTCCGCCCATTGATACTATGTGGGGGAGGGCACAGAGTTCCCACCAAAAACTGTTAAAGCTGTTAAATCTTCCCGGCTACAGGCACTGTGCAGGTGCAGCACCTATAATGTGTGAATGCACAGATGGCCACTCGAAGAATGACAGTTACCGGTAAGCAACCTGCCTTTTTCATACAGTTTTCGTATGCATTTCAGTGTACACATTTCCCCCTCATGTATGAACTTTTGCAATCATTTTCCCTACTATGACCCTTTGTACACTATATTTCCCAATGTACATGTATCTGTACACATGTTTTGTTATGAAAACTACATTGCAAAATTTAGAGAAGTGCAAAAACCAAATGAGAGTTGCATTCTGTTTTACGTATTTGCCTGGGAAGAGTGAATTAGGCTGGTTATGAGTGCATTTCTTTTTAAAGTTAAAACCTTTAAAAACAATACATAAAACTTGTGACCATATCTTATTTCAACAGGATGGAGAAGTGATTGGCATCAATACTTTAAAGGTGACTGCAGGAATTTCCTTTGCTATTCCTTCTGATCGAATTGCTCAGTTTCTCTCAGAGAATTATGACAAGCAAAGTAAAGGTAAACATTTGTAAGCAGTAGGATGCCTTGTATCTGTTTCAGTGCACCTTTGTTTTTCAAGAATATGCCCTATATCGCTATGACAGTTTTCCAGTATCATATGTACATGGCTGCAGGGTGGATAATGACCTAGAGCAGAAGTTTCCAGAATTTCTACCTGCAGGGAATATGTGAGAGAGGTGAGAATGAAAGCAAAATGGTGGTATACCAAGGTGTGCTTGGCAGTTGGCAGTTTCTGATTTCATTTTATATGGATACCCGATCCTTCTTTGGAAATTGCTAAAGTCCTTGCCTGAGTGATTTCCTTGCGGCAGGGAATTTCCCAATGCAACTTTCAATTAAGCAGACATAGCCTTTGGTGGCATCATTGTTCAGCCTCCTCATTTCAGGCATAATTTGCTGATCTTATTTTATATAGCTTTTCTCTATCCCTATTATGGAACCAGGAGGAGGGATGGTTTTTCCCTTATTTACAGGGGTTCCCCCTCAAAAAAACCAAAAATCTGATAGGCTGCCACCAGTAGGTTAATCTCCTGATGTATCCTAGTCAGCCCAGCTGTTTGGGGAGTTTCTGAGCCCAATTGCAAAGGACTCCTCTATTCCAGCCCTAGGAAAGAAAACAAGAAAGGTGCTTTGGGCTTTTCTTAGGGGCTTTCTAGAAACACAAAAATTAACAACCCCCATTTCAAAAGTCCCCAAAAACACAAGCACTGGTTTTGTAACTGCAGTTTTTCATGTGGGGAAGAATTTAATGAGAAATTCCTTTTAAACTAATACATGTCCAAACGGAATAATGGAATTTACATATAAAAAAAGGAAAGAAGCAAATGCACATGCCCGCACACATGCACGCACACACTTACACATAATTCCAAATAAAAGCAAAATGTCAGACTGACTTACTGAGCTACATAGTTTGCCACACATCACGTAAGTACTATGAGGGCAACTGTTTGAACAATGTGCCATGTGATTGTGAGTGCTATTTGGGATAGCGCTTCCTGCGCTCATGAACAGTGCAACACATGCCTAGGGCTGTGTTGTGAAGCCTCTGCAGCAACCTCCAAAGAAGTGGGTATAATGTACAGTAGTTCCTCATGCTCCAACCATGCTCTGCTCCAACCATTTACAGAAGTTAGAATCCCGTTTACAAGCACTGCTGGGCCTCCTGCCAACCCCTCCCCCCCTTTAGGAGTGTTTGCAGGGGAGGCTGTGCTTGCTTCCAGAACATGAGATGAGATGAGAAATGCAATTAGTTCTTCTTACCTCTTGCTTCTGCTCAGCCGTTCTGGTAAAGAAAGCCAAAATAGAACAGGAACTGAACTGACTCCTCTCTTAGCCTTGCTCCAAGATTAGGCTTACTTCACTAGCTCAAGCTGGTACTCAGTAGGGTAAGAAATGAGTCAAATAAACATCAAAGGAATATCAAATAAGTTAATAGTGTTTCATAGGAAGAATAACTGGATTTCTCCCACTACTGCGGCCTTTCAGCTAATTGTTGGTACGTTGAAAGTTGACTATGTCAAGCCCTGTACTGATTGGAACTAGTCCAGACAATGAGTGTGATCATCCATTGAGCAGAAACAGCAACTGTAGCTTTTCCAGGGCAGGAGATGTGCCTGTTTTGCTTCTGGCACTGGGGCTACAGTTCCTTGGGATGCAGGTGTCTTTGTTGTTGTTGTTGTTAGTCACAAAGTCGTGTCCAACCCATCGCGACCCCATGGACAACATTTGCCCACTCAGCCACATAGTTGCCTTTCCCTTCTGGTTTTGTCTTCTGGCAGGTGTGTTGTAGGCCTCATGTGTGTATTCTTATTTGTTTATCTGGTCTCTTATAAAGTCATCCCCAGAGCCGTAGAGTATTTCTCAACCTATGGGAACTAATATACTGAATTACTCTGCTGGTGGACCATCAATGTAACAGGCTGGCTAACACTGTAGTCAAACACACATTTTCTTGGGATTAAATCCCATTGAGCTATAGAACAGTGCTGCAAATCAGGGTTTCTAAAGTGTTTCACACTGTGAAGTACCTGTCCAGATTCATGGCCTTTTAAGGCTTCTCTGTGAGCCTAGGCCTGATAATGTTTCCATATGTGAAACTGGCTGTTCCAGTGTATTTGAACAACTTACTGTGAGGTAAGTTGCTGAGTACTTTATAAGCCTTTCATTGCATTGCATTCTGTGCTGGCTTCCTTTCTTCCTTTCCTCACATAATCTTTTAGCAACAAGCGCTCATTTGAGTTGCCAGACCAAGTGCTCTGGAGAGTGCTTAACCAGCAGAGTGGACGTAGCACAATAAGCTGTTTCTCTGGCATCTGCTGTGCTCCTGCCAAACATTGGAAGCCATGCAACGTGAGGCCAATGAAGTGCTAGAAGTGTGGGTTGAGGCCCGGATGCTGAGCTTAGCCAGCCAGCAAAACTGCCAGTTTACATTGTTGTTGGGGTTTTTTCTTGCTCATATTTCAGTATCTGGCTGTGACCAATGGATTACATTCAAAGTGTGGAAGTCAATATCAAATTCAATTAAAGCATTTTTAAATGAATATGTAATATCTGATATTATTACAGCCAGCTCCAGAAAAAGCTCCAGCTCCAGCTGTAGAAGTAATTACTGCCTGTCTGGAGAATATTTTAATAAAGGGGAAAAGAATGTATGGATGATTATGACTCCAGATAATAAAGCAATTTTGGAAAGGACCAAATGGCCACCATTTCTTTCTTTGTTCTCACCTGCTGAACAGCTAAATTTTGACCCTTCTGGAAAGGTTAAAGAATTCTTGGATCAGTGAAGAGAACTACATTCCTGGCACACATCTGTTCATATACAGTGGTACTTTGTCTCACAAACGCCTTGGCTCACGAACACATTGGATCACAAACAAAAATTTCATGAAAATTTTGATTTGGGTCACGAACTCTGCTTTGGGTGGCGACCAAGATCGCAGCCATATCCCCACCCCCGCGAGTGGGGAGATGGCCACGATCGCAGTTGCGTTCGTGCAGGGAACACATGAGTGATCACGGCTGTGCTGCACCTGTCTTTCCTGCAGGAGCATACCCGTGATCACACACGTCTTCCCTGCACGAATGCAACTGCAATCCTGGCCATCTCCCCACTCGGGGGGTGGGGGTGGAGATGGCCATGATTGTGCCGAGATTGCGCCCATCTTTCCTGCAGGAGTGTGCCCATGCCAGGGTTTCTTTGAGAAGCACCACCCCAACATAAATGTAATGAACAGAGTGTTGAATCTGATGAATAATAACGTGGTCTCTCATTTCCAGAGGGTTATGCAGCACAGGAAAAAACAAGTGACTATAGACAGATTTTTCACCAAAATTGACCCTGCAGCTAAGAGACAAAGAGAGGAAACTCCTGAAAGAGATCTCCCCAATGACCTTCTGGAGGGCGACTCTCCCTCAAAACAATAATCTCCCCTCACACTAGGTTAGTGTTCTCCACTGTACTGTACAGTACTTTGTTACTTTGTTGTTCTTTGTCACTTTGTTTCAAATTTTTCTGATTAAAATAGTTACAGAACAGATTAACCTTATTTACATTGAACCTTATGGGGAAATTTGACTTGGGTCACAACCAGAGTCGTGGAACGGATTAAGTTCATGAACCAAGGTACCACTGTATATGGCTGTACAGCAGTGCATGAGTCTGGAAGCCTGTTGCCCAGTTTAGGGCAAGAGGGTCATTGGGAGCACATCACCTCTTCACCTAATAGCTGTTCCCCGTTAAGAATGGAGACCCCTGACATTGTAGAAGAATGGGGCAAATCAAGAGCTTTTTGGGAGAAATCCCTTTCTAGTACTTCACAGGTGGTGCATCTGAACAGAAAATGGTAAAATATCCTCGCCTCATTATTGACTTTTAATCTTGCTGCCTCAGATGTTCCAGGGTAACCTTAACCCTAATATTCAATTTAGTTTTTCTAGTTTTCCTTTGATTTCAGCCAAAACATGCTTCAGATCTGAGAAGCAACATGGGAAACAAATTCCTGTACCAGTGCAACATTAAAACCAATCAATTAAAATGAAACAAGACATGCTGTTATAAAGACCATACAGATAATAGCCACTTTTGAAAGATACTCAGCCTTAATCTGCAGCATGTGTTAGTGGGAAGGAAATCCCACATGCCTCCCTTGATGCATAACTGTTAGAATCAGGAGAGCGTTGGCTAGTCTTAGGATCAAATAAGACATTGGAGGATCAGTCTTAGGATCAGGTAAGACATTGGAGATGCATGAAAGGCCATTCTGCCTCTTTCAGTCTATTTTAAAAGCAGTACAAGACCTCCAGTTGGACTGAGCACAAGGAAAGGGGATTCCAGTGAAACCTCCCCCTGTTGTTCTGCAGCAGCCCCACCAAGGGCTCCTAGTGGTAACAGTTAGAAGGCATTGTGTGGCTATTCTGCCCTTTTCTCTGTAATGTTTTTCCCAGTAAGAAATTAGATGGAAAAAAAGCAGTGGGAAAACATGGAAAACTTAGTGCTAGAAGTCACTGTCATCTGGATGGCCTGATAACATGCCATGAATGAGGCAGGGTGATGGCATGATAAAAGCCTAGTCTGGAAACACCTAACATGAGGAAAAGGGCATGGGGCAGTTGTGTAGTCACACATTCGGAAGTGCAGGCTCTCCTCAGGGCACTCCCCTCCTTAGCCATAGCCACAAATGCAGGCAGCTGTGTTGATCCATATCAAGCCATTTCTGGCAGTTTCCATTTCCACTAGAAATGGGACTTTTGTAAAACCCTCACAAAATGCTTCTCTTTAAAACAGGGACCACTGTATTGTTTCTGTTACTTTCTCTGTTATTGTGGAATGACAGCTCAGAGAGAAAATCAATTTTTTAGGACAGTACATGGCAGATGATGTCAGTATTCCTGCTAATTAAAAAACTGGTGGTGCTACATCCCTGTGACCCTGTTTCCACTATGCAACCGCATGGGCATTGGAAGGATTCATCATACCCTTAACAGAGGAATTGCATTTCTTTGAAAATAAAGTTAAAGAAACAGGAGAACTGGTCACATTTCATCAGCTTCTCCTCTGATTTGGCTCTTGGAGGTTGCAGTAGGACATACGGAATGAAGAAGGGATTCTCCGTGGGTTTCGTTTCATGATTCCCATTGTGATTATCATAATGGTTATGGGTGACATTCCTATGATGTTCTAATTATAGTGTTTGAAGTGCATTCACCACTCTTGAGAACTTCATATACATTGTGAAAACTGACTGAGGTACCAAGCCAGCTGTACCTCAGTATGGATGCTGGGACATTTTTGTAATGGTGGCAGTCACACACACTTTTAGAAAGGGGGTTGCACTGTTACTCACCAATGGAAGACCTCCAACTTTGTTTTGAAGATTCATGGTATACATAGCATGAACCCCCAAAGCAGGCTATGTAGAAGGACACAGGCTGCTTCTCACTATACCCATCTGCAGGCATCTGCCTTATACCTTGCAGGATTTGTCTTGGAAATTCCTGCTTGGGCTGATTTCATCATGCCTACATGTCAGGTGGTTTGCCTCTTTGGAGCAATTCTGTAAGGCTGCCAGCACAGCAAATCCTGAAAGTTGAGAAAATTATTTTTGGGTCACACAAACTAGTCGTCATGGGGGGTATGGGGAGCCCCCATGAGTAGAAAAGATACTCCATAAAGAGAGGCCTTGCATGGGGTGGCCAGAATGCTCTTCAACTTTGGTGTTTACTGAAGCTTTGGAAAAGCCTGAATAGGTTTGTTTATATGCTAGTTATCCAAAGGTCAGGCATCTTAGCTGCCCTAGAGTCATACGGCAAAAGAAAGATTCAAGAAATGGTGTGTTCATATAAGGGAGTTATCTTCCTGATTTGCTTTTTGCTCAAAAATAGTCTGGTGAAAGTTTGACTATTAGCTAAATAGGTATATAGGAATGGTATATTTATAAGGCCCTCCCCGAAAGGAATCTGCCTAATATTTTAAAAACTTGGCAGCTTGTCCAGCTTTTCCTCATAGAAACCACCATGTCTCTTGAAGGGGAATGGAATGTTTCTAATAGTCTGATGCTCTAATTCACATTAGTTGTGACCTTCCAGCTAGCTGTCCATACAGTGAAAGATAACTCCAACAAAGCAGGAAAACTGGCCTTCTCCCCTCTCCTTTTCCCTTTAAAAAGTTCATTACTGCCATCTTCCTAGGCCTGTTGCTCTCCAGATATTCTGGACTACAATGCCCAGCATTCCCACTACTGGCCATGCTCCCTGGGACTGATGAAGAATGACATTCCAAACATGGAGTGGCCCAGGTGAGGGGAGGCTGTCTTGCTTTAAGGGAAGAATACTTAAGAATGCTACCTAGGGGGCAAAGTCTGGCCCTCAACCTCTTATCAAACCTCCTTGTGTGGCATACTTGTGCCATGCACAGTGTTGCCACTTGAACGAGGAGCAGGTGGACACTTTCTCTCCTTAGGCTTGTGGCGAACCCACAATGACAACTGAGGCCATTTATAGCCCACAGAGCAGATTTTCAAAGCCTAAGGGGATGATCTGTGTTCCACTGAGAAGCTCCATCAAGGTTCATGTCACATTTTGGTTTTACACAATTCTGTTTCACACTGAATTTCTTCTTGGAACCACTAAAAATGATTAACAAGAATTTTACTTTTTATTCCAGATGGAAAAAAACGGTTCATTGGTCTAAGGATGTTGACCATAACACCGGTGTAAGTCTCCCTTAATATACATGACTGTAGAACATTTTGAGCTGCATCAAGATGTTCAACATCTTGGGAAGACAGAGTTCTCCTAGTCATTTTTATACCCTTCTTCCCCCTTCTTCCCCTCCTCAAATCTAGGGAGGCTGGCTGCCCTGCCCAGTTGCTTTTACTTGGTGAGACCGTACTCTCCATTGCCTCTGGAATACTGTGCCTGTACCATCACTGTCTCTGTTTCTCCTGCTGTTGAAACATCCTCTGCCTACCCACCTTGCCTTTCATTGATGCAAATATTAAAATATGTGTAAATGTAGTAAGTTTGTTTTGTTTTGAAGAATCCATCAGGGCCAGAAATCTTAGGTTCTTCAAAAGCTTCTGTCAGAAGAAAAGACACAATGTATAAGGGTATTTTTTTTAAAGTAGCAGCAGCTGTAGTAATTTAATGGTTTGATTTTGGTAATACTTATGCTTTTCTTTTTTTAGACTAGTGGAAGAACTTAAGCTTAATGATCCAGATTTTCCAGATGTCAGTAGTGGAATTTATGTATATGAAGTTGTTCCAAATTCACCATCACAGAGGTATGTGGATCCCAAGCTAGAAGCTGCTGCTCTACTTTAAACATACTATATCCAAAGGAAACCCACAGAGATTTTGTGGTTGACTTTTTTGTTTTATTTTTATCTTAGAAATTTGTCTTTTCATTTTTCAGAAGCAGTACATCTTATACTATTCCATGTTAAAATATTTTTGTACAGTCTTGGCTGCTCTAATCTTAAATCAGCTATGAGGTTCATAATGTGTATCTGGAAGGCAAAAAGAGCCCTCTCTAACTTCTCTTCTTCAGAATACTTTTGCAAATTTCCTATCAATATTATCAGAACACTTTGAAAGGTAAAGTTGTTGAGTTCATCCAAAGATTCCTTCCTTCTCCAGGAAGGGAACCTTTGGGTGCAACTTGTACTTATTATGAGTTTCTCCAAACTTTAGTTTTTTCTGGTGATTATTATCATCATAATGATTATGAAGATGTATATAGGAAAAGCTAGCAAAATGTCTTTTTAGATGGCATATTTTGTACACTTTAAACACTAATAATGTATGAAAGTATTCTAAGATTAAAAACCATTGATCCTAAATTCTTGGAGTTAGGGTATTCACAAATTATTAATCTGTTAAAAAGGAAAAATGAGTTAAGGCACACCCAACACTACATAAGCAGCAAACATGGTCTACACCTTAGCTTCTGTACATCTCCACTTCCCCTTGATCTTTGAGCCTGGATCATCTTTTCATTGCAAGTTAAGAAAACACTAAAACCCATGATGGAATGAAGTAGCCACCTAGTTTCTTAGTGACTTCTTGCTTTCTGTGCTTTTCTTCCAATTTAGACAGAATATTGTGGCATTGGCAGCAATCAAGATCAGTGTTAGCAAGCTGTCTCCTGTTTTCTTTCATTGCTCTCAGGTCTGGGGTATACCAGAGAACTGTACGAATTCTACTAGAGAGAGAGCACTTAGGAGAAATCATGTCAATGACCTGGGTCATCTCTGTTTTCCAGTGATCAACCAGGGATTGGACAGGATTACCAACCCCATATCAACCAGAAAACTCCATAGAGTGCTCTGGAACTATCCAGATCCATCATCCTCTGGGGAGGAATTGTCACCAGTAGTCTAAATTTCAGTGATCAGACCATGACAAAGGATCTATTTTAAAGTCTCCCACCTTCAGCTCACTATCCCCATGCCCAGTACAAAAAACAGAGAGTGTCCTATTACTTAAGCTTGGCCAGTGACATGTCAGGAAAGTCCTAGGGTTGCCATGGAGTCCATACAATCCTGAGCCATCCAGATAGAGTGGCCTTGGCGTGGATGTTAATGCCTCCCTCTATCAGGTCAGGAAGGCAACTGTTGAGTCACAGGAAGAATCCGGTGCAGAATCCCTAATCTGTCCCCCTGGTACAATGCAAGATATAAACACTCTAAACTAGGAGTCACATGGACAGGGAGCCTGGAGAAAGAGATAGCTGCCCTTCTCAGCCCTCTGGTGTAACTTGGCTGTACCAGGTACCCCAGTGGACACAACTAGGAGAGACTAACTCCTCCTTGCTCAGCCACCCAAGTCCTGTTAAGGACACTATTAAGCTGTGGATGAGGGAGGTCTGGGCATGTAAAAGCAGCATCTGGAGAACCAAAGGCAGGTTGACAGGGCAACCAGCAAACCTGTGATTGAGAGGAGGGCTGGAACATGGCAGAGGTGCTAATTGGCTACATTCCCCTAGCCTGTGCTGTATCTCCCTCTACCCATCATAAAGCAGTTTCCTCTTGTCATGTCCACATCCCCACACTTGGTCCACCTCCCTCCCTACCACATACTCAGGCCCTGTGAAGGGAGCACAACTGCTCTGAAAACAAGCCATGGGGGTGCCATCTTGGCTAAAGTGGAAACAATCCTAAAGTGTTGGCATTGTCACGTTTAGGGCCATCCGCTTCAGGGGCATCATCACCCTACTGGGAGACCACCTGAGGGATTAAGTGTTTACAAGTTAGCCAGGCCTTGGGGAGCATACCTCTTCTTGTCTGTTAGAGAAAGGGCACCATTCCAGCCAACAACAACATCAGGGTTCTGATCTTCATATCTTGTTAAAATCTGGTATGACACTGAGTCAACCCTGGGCATTGAGTGAGAAAAACAGTAAAGCTGAAAGAGCAGGGGAAGGTGTGGGCATGTGGAAGTGAGCACCATCTGCGGATTTGTAGTCCATAACACAGCTGGCACGCTGTCCATATATTTTGGTACCTGAGTGACTGTATAAGCATCTTAACACTTCCCTTTTAAAAGTGAAGGAGGTTTGATCCTAGAATAACTTTGTTCATAGAAAAGGAAATTATTTGATGATATGACCTGCTGGGGAATGCATCAGGTTGGATTCTCACATGTGCAACCAGGCTGGCAGAAAAGGACTTCTGTGTTCCTCCTCTGCATGGCAGCCTCCACAGCCCCCTAAAAATGCTAAACGGGGTCAGAGGACCCTGCTGATGGTGTAAGCCATTGTTTGTGGAGGGCAGGGTCCCTGAAAATCAGGCAGAGGCACCTCTGGTGAGCAGAACTGTTATGCTTAAGAAAGGCAGACTGTATGCTAGCAGTGCAGTCTGACTAGAGCAGTGCTTCTTTGGGAACCATGCTGCAAAGCGCTCCTTGTTGATCCTTGCTTTTTCAAAACAAGGATTTCTTGCAAGGCCAGCCTGAGTTTCCATGTGACCAAAGCTCATGGACATGTTCCCCATCATGAGGAGTGTGCCTGTGTCCCCACTGCCTCAGGGCCTCACACAGTGCGGTCCCTGAAAAGAGGCCAGCAAGCGATGTGCTGCATATAAAGAGGCAAGGGCCCTAGGTCCGCCCATGAACCTTCTGGCAGAGTGCAGAAGCCCCTGCAGACATGATGCTCGGGCAAGAGACTTGCTTTTGTAGCAAGAAGGGTGCATGAGCAAACACTCAGAATGGTTTCTCTCTTTGCACCGCAGAGGTGGGATTAAGGACGGAGATATCATTGTGAAGGTGAATGGACGTGTGCTGGCAGCTGCTGCTGACCTGCAGGAGGCAGTGATGAATGAATCCCCTCTGCTACTTGAAGTCAGAAGAGGAAATGACGACTTGTTGTTTAACATAGAACCTGAAGTACTTATGTAAATCAAACTGAGGAAGATCTTTGTGACACAACTAAACGCCTTTATTTTGGAACTTCAGATACCTCCTTTACATTGACAGCAATTACACCTTGGTGTTGACTAATGACAAGGTGAACTGCTATTATGGCCAGATCTTGTGCTGTGCCTGGTAGTCGACTGTGAATGAGGCTTCAGCATGGCAGCATATTTCAAGTCATTGCATTGAGCGTAGAGCCAGATTCCTTATGTTAGTTCTGCATAAATATTGGATCTCATGTAGTTTAAGATGGTTGTATATGAAAGGAGCTCGCAGGGACCATTCCTGTGGTTTAAGGAAGCTATTTCTGATTACTTAGGGTCAGACTTTAACCGACAGAAGACGACTTCTGCAAAACTCTGTGCTGGATTTGTCCCCCGTCCCACAAGCATCACTGCAGCTAGAGCTAGCCTGCTGCCCTTCTGTGCTTTGTGATCAGTAGTATAAGCCAGGATGACTCAGGAGTGATCTGCTTTGATTGAAAAATGGCCTGTTTGTTCTGCATGGCAACAAAATGTAGCAATGATAAATACCAAAAGAAAGAAGAGTGATTAAATGCTAAAAAAGATTCAAGGCAGTGACTGTCCGAGAGTACGTGGCAGGTAGAAAAGCAATGACTTTCCACTTTGCATCATATATATACAAATGTCAAATTTACAACATCGCTGTAGCTGAGCACACAAGATCCCTTTTTCATGAATAGAAATAAACAGAAATGGTATTTGTGAAGTCACTTCTCTTCATAGGAAAGCCCAGATTATGATGTCGTATTTGTCATCCCAGAACTAGTGAGCAACTTCACCCAACAGAGGATAGCACACACTGGAAGTGTTGTTCCAGATATCTCAAGCTCAGTGAAGACTGGGAAGCCATTTCAGTTCAGCAGGTCTGCAAATGAGGTTAAGAAATTGTGACGTACATAACTGGGCTGCCTGCCTATGCACATATATGTGCATGTCCTCACACACACAGTGTGGAACATGTGGATTTCTTTGTAAATGGTGTGAGTGTAGCAAGAGGAGTGTAACCAGATGTGCAAACATGAAGACGTGTTGTAAGCCAGGAATGCACAACAGCTGTGACTTCCAGTGTGTTGCCACAACAGGCCTGAAGTGCTTTGGGATGGATGGCAGGGGCACAGCTGCCCCTCCACAATGGAGAGGCCCCTTTTGATATGTAAATCAGAAGCTGGACCCTGTCACAAAGCCCAGCTTAGGAAGGGGTCCTACCTTCATGAACACCATTTCCCATGATGCTCAGGATGAACTGAACAGGAAAGCTGGATATATGGGTGTGTGTGTGCGCGCGCGCTGGGGTGGAGGGGTTACCAGGAACAGATGGGCAGTTGTGCCACATGCAATTGCTAGGGAGAGGGCTACCACTCCCTTGCCCTCATGCTTCAACAGCAGGAGTCCTTTTACTGCGATTTCAATTGATGAAGCCCACGCATTTCCAAGCTGTTTTCTCCAGCCACAAGTGCAAGAGAAGTTTTAGGAAAAAAATATTTTAATACAGGCTTAGCTATTGCTCCACTAGGCTATATGGTTAATTTGGTCTCAGTCACAGGCTAGTGTTAAACTGAGGTCATGCGGAAGTGGAATGTAGTAAATGATTCTTATAGAATTACTGCCTAATATAAACTCAAAAGAATGTGCCAAACAAAGCTAAAACTTTGAGGAAGTGCACAGTTTTTCAGGGGTTTAAAATTATTTTTTCTCTGTATTGGAAAGCATTATTGTATAGATTGTATACTTAGGACAAGTACTGTATGTTCTTACTGTACGAAGATTAAAGTTTACATCAGTGAAAAGTTTTGTGTTTTGTTATTGTACCTTCCTGTTACTAGCTCATATTGGAATGCTGCTCCATAAGAGACAGTCAGCTTGCTTTAGGGCACAAGCCAGTCTGAACCGGAAGACTTGCATCCATCTAGTTCATGGAGTGAGGTATGGAGGTAGCAGTCTTTGTGGCTGCCATTTCTTGCATCTGCATTTCATCCAGACAGCGATTTTCAGTGCAGAGGGGAAGGGAAAGTGGCTGGGATGCCCTGGTAGAAGGCAAGAGCTGTCAGCACCAGCCATCTCCCTTCACAGCCTCTCAAGCTACCCCTTCACTTCCTCTCCAAGGCCAGTTTGCAGCAGCAGGGGTGTGCTTTTTGGTAGGCCCGCTGTGAGGCGGGTGAACTTCAGCTTGAGGTTGCAGAACCTCAGAGGTGGGACTCTTAATAATCCAAATCTCCCCATATGATGTTGGGAGGCTGTGGAATTGCATCCTGAAAGCATCAACTACTCTTTTTCTTACAACTGACTCTTCTGACCTTCTTGCAGTGCTTACTTATATTCACATACTAATAGACAGTGCTTTAATCCAAGTTATCTTTGAGCTGTTTACAGAGGTCCGTAATGATCTAAGAAAACATATAACCCCAAATCTGTAATGGCACCAAATGCCCCCAAATTTATCGCACAATGACAAGAAGAAATCCCTTTGCTTGAAAACAAAGCATATGGAGTGTTCATTCCTTGTTTCAGTGCTACAATTCAGCCTTTTTCCCCCTCCCTGCTAAATGGACAATATCAGTGGAAGCAGGGGCTGTGCTTTCCGGCAGGAGAGACTGGCTTTAGGATCCTCTAACATTGCTCATCCCTGATTTATGGTGTCTATATCCTATTGCTATGACCATTTGAGGTAGATTACAAAATAATAAAAGGACAGTATATCAGCATAATCCTAAAAAATGAAATGACTCTTTTACACAAACAGCAGAAAAACAAATAGGTATACATTTCAAGTAAAAAAAAAATACAACAATTGCCATCTTTTCTACCAAGTGGTCAAAAGAAAAGGAAGACATTTATTTTTTCACACACACACACGGAGGAGCTGATGTATTGTGCAAGACATGAGCTCAAGACAACAGAATAATCCAAGAGTGTGGTTTGCTGAACGTGGGTTGTTGCTGAAATGTGAGTTGTATTGTCTGAATTACCATCTGAGAGGGGTACGTTGACTCGGGGTCCTGCACTCTGGAGGGGGTTGGGCCCAGTGGCCTTCTTGGCCTCTTACAGCTCTACCATTCAATGATTCTATGAGCCCAGCTGTGCTAACAAGCCATGGCTTGTTAACCACAAACACGTATGGAGAGAACCCACGTTTGATGTTGCATTGTAACCTGTGAGTGGGTTCACAGGGATGTGTGAGGACTCCACTTTGAGGGTGAGAAGGCATTGGATTCCCCTGGCTTGTCTCCCTGTACTCTAGCCTGCTTTTCACAACTGTGAGTCCAACTTGGCACTGAGCGTGCTGAGTATGCATGCAGGCACCCACCAGGAATCAAGACTACTTCTGGCAAGTGGCATCCCCTTCTATGCACATGGTTTGCGGCCTTTGTGCTGCACGCACTGCAGGAGAAGGTTGCTGGTGTCACAAGTACAAGTCTGATGAACAGAAGCGAGGACTGTCACAACCCTAGTTCACACGTTGCAGCCAGCAAGGGTAGGGGACTGCCATGACTGGTAGCACATTCCCACTTCTTCCCTGACAGATGAGCAAGAACTCCAGCTGTTTCTGTTGTTTCCTGCCCTTCCCAGCCTCCTCCTCTTGCCATGCCTCCCACAAGCTGCCACAAGCACAACCCCTTCATTACTGGAATGTTCTGTGGCCAGGTCAGCTGCCTCTTCATGATTGATCCTCTGAGATTTTGAGATAGATTCTCCCTCTTACCCCTTCTGAGTATGCCAACATCTTTCAGCACTAAAAGATTTGCTTTTAACATTAAAATCATCACTTGATGTGACTCCCCCAACCCCGTCAGCTTCTACTGCTTACTGACTTCCTCCCTATTTCAGAAAGTAAACAGTGTGATTGGCACAGCACTCCACCATTAGGACCAACGCATGCAAAGACATATGTATTGCTGGAAAGCCACGACAAGTAAGGATGCCTGGTGTTTCTGCTCTTCCCACAGGTGTTTTTCCACCACACAGAGAAAAATGGCTTTCCAGAGTCCAGATGTCATGAAAGACAATTGCAGTAAGCAGAACCCATACAACAGACCATTGTTTCTAGGCATTGTTTTGGGGCCTGAAACAAGCTGTGGTGGCATATCACAAGTGTATCCAGACAATATAAGATGCCCACAGTCATTACAAAACAACACACAATTGTTTGTTATGACATGTGAACCCTGACTGTGAGTTCAGCATGGATTGTTAGCTTGGCTAGATTCAGACAATCTAACACAATAGTAATGTTTCAACAAGAACCCATGGTTCACTGACAACCCAAACTCAATCCTCAAATGGGAAACAGACTAAATGGCTAAACATTAGAAGAGGCTTCCTAGTGGTAAGAGCTACTCAGCAGGGGAACCGATTGCCTTGGCAGGTGGTTGCTTCTCCTTGGCTGGAGGTATTTCAGCAGAGCACGGATGGTCAATTATCGGAGATGCTGTGGCTGCATCTTGCTGTGCGGAGCCTGTGCTGAGCAGGGGCTTGGACTAGATGATCTCTGAAGTCCCTTCCAACTTCACCACTGTAGAGTTTTCTTTTCTTTGTTACCATTCATTTATAGGCCATACTTTTGGACAGCTAAGTACTTGGCTAACAATGTAAAACAAGGATTTTTTTTCTTTTAGAAACGCCCAGTTACTGAGTCTCCATCCAAGAATGGGCTTAGTCTGAAGGAGGAAAAAAAAACCCTCTGGCAGCAGAAACTTGTTTCGGTCAAGTAGAGGTCAAAAGAATGAAAGCATTTGAGATTCATTAGCTAGTTCACTCCATTATTTCCAGAAAGATACCTCATCAGCCCAATACGTTTACACAGAATTTGATCTGCATTCCATCATAATTAATTAGAAAACTTTTGTGACATGACTCTTCTTCATTAGCACAAGACTTCATGAAAATTCTAAGAATAAACAAGTTACTTGGTTCAGAAGGTTTGCAGTATAATATCCCAGGTCTATAGACCAGCCTTCCCCAGCCTTCTGCCTTTAGACATTTTGGACGTCAATGCCCATCAGCCCCAGCCAGCATGGCTAATGGTGAAGAATTCTGGGATTTGTACTCCAAAACATCCACAAACTGGGGAATGCTATCATACGCAGTATATTTGACTATTGGAACAAGTGAGGAAAGCTTAGCTGTTAACTGGATTTTGAAAACGGGCAGTAGCAGGCTGTGCAGTAGAGGAGACGGCGGGTGCGAGTGCTCCTGTGCAGCTGCTGGGCCTGAGGCAGGCACCCGCTCATCGTCTACATCCGCATCACTGCTGAAGCCAAGGCAGAAGACGGTAATGGCAAAGAGGAGCCAGAGATGCACGCAGAGCCCATTCACCCCTTTGTGAAGACCTTGTTTTAAGGAGAGAATTAATAACTTGCTTCACACAAGTGGGAAACCTGCATATAACAACCTGCTGTTTCTATTGATAGTGCATGCCTGGAGCTACCTTAAGTTATGGAGACACATTAAAAAAGCTAAAATAAGGAGTCAAACACAGGGTCAGGATGTTATTACCTGATGTGTGTTGGAAGGAAATGACCAGTGGCTCAATGTCTAGGTATAAATATTGAGACAGTGGAACACCATAATCCTTGCCACCTTCTCACTGCCAGTGAATGAGGTCAGAACAGTGGGGAAGTATCACAGTCCTAACTAGCAACTGTCTCATCCTTCAGTTGTTTGAAAACAATGTCTTGGCAACTCTTACATTTCTATGGTTACTAAAGAATAACAGGGCAGTGGCAGAACTGAGTTGCTACAACTACCTAGCCAAAAAAAAGAGTCAGTGACTGCTTTGTGGTTCCATTAATAAACTACCATGAAAAGTAAAACTCCTGAGCAGGAGTGGACAACTTGTGACCCTTCAGATGTTTTGACCTACAACTCACAGCATCCCTAAGGATTGGTAGGATTTCTCTTGAATTGTGGACTAAAACATCTGGAGAGCCACAAGTTGCCCACCCCTGCTTTACACATACCTGAAGAACTATCCTAGTGTTGGGGTTCCATGTGCTGGTTTAAGCTGCAGCTCCATGAACAGTGATGTGAACCTTGGACAGTGGAAACGGTATCAAGCATGTGACAACCCACTGGATGGAGGCTCCCTGAAACAGTGAGCTGAGGTGGGGCTGGGAAGGGCAAGTTCTTCTTGCTTCCCATGCACCTACATCTAGCTTCAACTTCCTCTGCCCCTTGACAGATATAAACAGTTCTCAGTTCCTGGAGGAGGGCTAGAGATGATTCCGTATAGATTATTTGGAGAAGCAGGGGGACAGGCAGCATGAATGCTTTGGGCTTCCTGTTGCCTCTTGATTAACATTCAGTGCTGCTCTAAGGTGACCCAGAGGAGCTGCCATTTTGCCCCACTTCTGTGTATGGTTGGCTGTGGTGTACGGCAGTCTTAACTTGTTGATGTGAGTTGACTTTGGTGCGCAGAAACTAAACTCATTAAAGAGTTGCTACAAATGCCAGGCAGAAAGTCTGTACACACTTGCTTATGAGTAAAGATGACTACGATTGCATTATAAATAGCATTTGATATTTTTAACCTGGAGCCCAAACCATTTCCCCACCTCTGTCTGCAAACAGCAGCTTCATGTGCAAATATCAGACAGGAAGCTGCACAGGGCCCCAGTCTGGACTGAATGCATGTTCTGGTCCAGGTCATAAAATGGTTTTTTCTTCAAACTAAAGGTAGCCAGGTTTTGAAGAACATTAATAATGTAACACATTTATGAGGTGTTCCTGAAAGCAGTATCCAAGTCAGATTAGAAGTAGGCAATTTTATCAGGGATGCATTTAGCTGACA